GGGGCTGGGACCAGCCCCCTAGACCTCTCCACTGATTCCCTACTCCGCGCCGGCATGTTGTCTTCACACCTTGGAGCACTGGGTTGAAGTTTGGTACCTCTTTTCCTGTGGAGATATAAACAATACCCTCCCCTTGGGTGGGTTAGCGCCCTGTGTATTTTTATACTTAAATTTTTCTTTTTTAATGATCACTTAGCATAAAAATTGATAAATCGTTAGATGAAAGGGTAAACTTTTATTTTCATTTGCTTAGGGATAATGTGCAGTGGGGTGCTTTTTGAGGCTTTGATTCAAGGGTTCTTCCCTGACACCAGTCATTCAGCTTGTCCTTCATGAACGGCAAGAGGAGAGTGGTGTCTGTCTTTTGTGCACTGGAGCAGGAGAACCAGATTGGCCGCTCCAGTCAGACTCAGATTAGTACTGGGAATGAGTGTATATGGGAAAGTTAGAATTTGGCTCCCTTAAGGATTGACCATGTACTCTGAAGCCAGGGAAGCTGTTCAGGTGATTCAGCTATAACCTCAAGTTCAAGAAGAAATCTGCTGGGGACGCAGTATTATTGTTGTTGCTGTTAGGTGCCATCAGATTGTTTCTAACTCATAGTGAACCTGCACACAGCAGAATGGAACCATGCCCGGTCCTGGGCCACCACACTTGTTGGTGTGTTAAGAGCCCATTGTTGGAGCCACTGTGCCAGTCCATATCTTGAGGGTCTTCCTCTTCTGACTCTCTACTCTTCTAAGCATGATGCCCTTTTTGAGATGCCCTTGTCTCCCTTGAAAGCATGGCCAAAGTATGTGAGCAGTCTCTCCACTTTTGCCTCTAAGGAGCATTCTGGCTGCCCTTCTTCCAAGACAGGTTTGTGTGTTCTTTTGGCAGTCCTCAGCACTATCAGTATCCTTCACCAACAACGTAATTCAAACGCATCATTTCTTCTTCAGTCTTTCGTGTTCATTGTCCAGAGTTTACATGTATATGAAGCTATTGAAAGTACTTGGCTTAGTTCAGGGGCATCTTAGTCCACAAAGTGCCCTTTTCAACATTTTGAAGGCGTCTTGTAAGCAGGTTTGCCCAATGCACTATGTTACTTGATTCTTTGGCTGCTGCTGCCGCCACCAGGATCTAAGTAGAGTGAAGTCCTCGACGGCGTCAGCCTTTCTCCGTTCATCGTGATACTGTCTGTTGTCCCGTTGGGAGGGTCTTGGTCTTCTTTACATCGAGTTGTAATCGTCATTGAAGGCTGCGGCCCTTGGGCTTCACAGCGTGTACTTCAAGTCCTCCTTGCTTTCAGCAAGTGAGGCTGTGTCGTGTACAGCCCTCCCGCCAGTCCTGATGCCGAGTTCTTCTGTGTGTAGTCCAGCTTCTCAGATCGAGTAGGTCTGGGGAGAGGAAACAGCCCGGATTTACACCTAATTTTAAATCCCGCAGTATTTGCTTGTTCTGTTGTATGACTGCCTCTTGATCCGTGTATAGATTCTGCATGAGCATAGGGAGTGTTTTGGAAATCCCATTCTTCCCAGTATTATCCATAGTTTTCTTATGACCCACACAGTTGGATGCCTAAGCACAGTCAAGAAAACACAAGTAAACATCTTTTTGATGTTCTCTGCCTTTAGCCAGTCTCTCATTTCATAGCTCCTCCTGAATCTGGCTTGAATTTCTGATAGCTCCCTGTCAGTGTACTGCTGTAATGGTTGGTGAATGAGCATCAGGGAAATTTAATCACATGTGATGCGAGTGATATTGTTGAGTAATTTCTGCATTCTTTTGGGTCACCTTTTTTTGGAATGGGCACAAATATGAATCTCTTCCAATCCTGGAGCCTTGTTTTTTGTTAATGTCTTCAGTGCACTTATGATTGATCTTTCAATACCATCGCTTATTTTTCAGTGTCAACTCTTATTGATCATAAGCTACCCTTGACATGGCTTTAGACGCCTACCAGTTCTTTTTGCTAAGTGATTCTGTGTATCATCTGCTTATGCGCCCTGCGTTGCTCAATATTTTACCCATAGAATCTTTCACTATTGCAACTTGAAGCTTGAATGTTTTTCTTCATTTCTTTCATCTTGGATATGCTGAGTATGTTAACATATGCATCAGACTACTCATTCATTTTTCTTACAGAGTAGTATTCCATTGTAGAACATCTGGATTGCTTCTAGTAATTTTACTATTGCAAGTAAAGTAACTATCAACATCTGCATACAGGATTTTTATAAACACAGTTCCTATTTCTCTTCACAGATTCTGGAGGATCGCCTTATCTGATCCATACTGCAGTTTAAGAAAAATATTCCTAATCATTTGATTTAAGGTCAATAGTAAATAATGAGGTTCCTAGAATTTATATTTTAATAAGACCAATGCACTCTATGAGAATAATTGAGACTTTGTTATGTGGAATTTAATTTGAAATTCTTTTTCATCTTATTTTAGACTCTTCAGACAGCAAAGAGAAGAAATCTTTCAGCCTTGAAGAAAAATCCAAAATTTCAAAAAACCGTGTTCATTATAAGAAATTCACAAAAGGTAAGGTTTAACATTTTTTTATTTGTTGCTAACAGATGCATGTTCATTCTGAAATTCTGAACCCATTTTGCTGTTCATCATCAGACTTCTCATTTACATCCAAAAGCAGGGGTAGATGCAGAGCCTGACTGGACTGGCCTAATCCAAACCAAACTCCCTGCCATCGAGTTGATAACGGAGTCATAGCGACTCTATAGGACAGGGTAGAACTGACCCTGTGAGTTCCCGAGACACTAACTCTTTTTTTTTTTTTGACACTAACTCTTTATGGGAATAGAAAACCTGTCTTTCTCCTACTGAGGGGCTGGTAGTTTCGAACTACTGATCTTATGGTTAGCAGGCCACTTGTAACCACTACGCCACAAGGGTGTCTCTAGGCCAGTGTTTGTCAACCTTCCTAATGCCGCAATCCTTTAATACAGGTCTTCATGTTGTGGTGAGCCCCAACCATAAAATTATTTTCTTTGCTACTTCGTAACTAATTTTGTTACTGTTATAAATCTGGCGACCTCTGTGAAAGGGTTGTTTGACCTCCAAAGGGGTCATGACCCACAGGTTGAGAGCCTAGAGTCCGGGCTGACCTAAGGTGGTGCTAAATTACCAGCACTTGCTGTGCTTTCCTTGGGGTGTTACCACGCAGGTTCAGGTTCAGTGGAGTTGAGATAAGGCCCATGCACAGACACTGTATGATATGCACATCTTAGGGCAAAGCTGAAACGGGAAGTCAGTGTGCTATTTTGAGGACAACTGTGCTTTTATATAACTAGGTAAGAAAACAAAAAAATATATATATGTAGGGTGATATGTTGGTAAGTAACACCTCATCTGTGAATTAGAATTATACTCTACATTCAGTTTTCCAATATGAGCAATCTCTCTCCTGGGTTGACCCTTACATTATTTCACACAGTTTGCCCATTTTATGGAGAATTAATGTAGGTGATCCATGGTTATTGCCAAGACAGTCTTAGAGAATACATGTGAGAACTAAATTGTTAGTCCAGTCGTTATTACTACCCCTCCTGCCCCCCATTCCTATATACAAGCTGTCCCTGCCTTACGGACACTCTGTTCACATACACCTGTAGTTCTGTAGAACCCATTGTTTTAAAAATTCAAGATACACACAAATAATACAACTTTGAAATGCACATCAAAACACTATTATTGCTCTATGTTTATGTTGAAGACGTTATGTTTTATTAATTTGAAAGTATTTATGTTGCTGAAGAAGATCAAGGATTGTAGTCTTGAGTATGGAGTACAACTCTGTGTAAAGAAACCCCAAATCCTCCCGACTGGATCAATAGGGAACATGAGAAGCGGAGAAAAGACTGAAGGTGTCAAGGATTTCCTCTTGCTTGGATCCCCAATCAGTGCTCATGGAAGCAGCAGTCAGGAGATCAAAGGACACACTGCACTGGGTGAATCTCTTGCACAGGACCTCTTTAAAGTGTTGAAGAGCAAGGATGTTACTTTGAGGACTAAGGGGCACCTGCCCCAACTCATGGCATTTTGAATCACCTCCTATGCCTGTGAAAGTCAAAGAATCAGTGCGTTGGAATTGTGGTGCTGGCAAACAGTACAGCGGACTGCCAAAGAGACAAACACATCATCGGAAGAAGTACAACCAGAGTGCTCCTTAGAGGCGAGGGTGGTGAGACTGTCTCATGTGCTTTGGACATGTCGTCAGGAAAGGCCTTCGCATCGTTCGGTAGAGTAGCAGGGCAGCCACAAAGAGAAGGGCCCTCGGCAAGATGGATTGGCTGAGGGCCTGCAACCACGGGCTCAAACGTATGAACAACTGAGGACGGTGCAGGACCGGGCGCTGTTCTGTTCTGTGTTCCATAGCGTTGCTGTGGGTCAGAACCGATTTGGCAGTCCCTAAATATGATTTTATTGTATAGAAAGGTACAGTATATACTGTATACTAAGATAAACATTTTAATAACTAATATTACCTAGGAGGCGTGCCTAGCTGTTCTGATTTACATGCAAAAACCACTTTAAAGACAGATTTAGGAACCACACTTCGCTAATACGGTTTGGATAGCTATGTGTGGGTGCAATTATTCTCTTTGACCACAAGATGGTGACCTTGAACTGATAAGGAAGCTACAGCTGGCCCAAATCCACTCCGGCAATGTTTTCCAGTAGAAAAGCCTTATGAATGAAGTATGCGTTCCATCCACAAAAACCCATCTCTTTCATAATATGTTTAAAGTGTAAGGTTTTGATAAAGGTCATTTGATTCCTCATCAACACTTGCTGGTTCTTCTACTGGGGGTTGGATGTTTAGGCATACGTGTGGGCCCAGACCCTCCCAATAAAGCGAATATCTCAGTAAAGTAAATGACACACACTTTTGTTTGTTTGTTTGTTTCCTAGTACATATAAAACTATGTTTATCCTATGCCATAGACTATTAAATGTGCAGTAGCATCAGGACAAGTTGGAAATATTGTGAGCATTATTAAATATGACACAGAGACACAAAGTGAGCACATGTTGGAAAAATACCAAGAGACTTGCTGGGTGCAGGGCTGCCACAGATCTTTGATTTTACAAACACATTATCTTCAAAGTGCAGAAAGGGCATGTCTAACACATCTTGTCTACTTGGTTGAGGGTTCCTGGCTCCTGATGACATAGTAGTTACATGGTGGGCTGCTAACTGAAAGGTCAGCAGTTCAAAACCACCTGCTTGTCTTCAGGAGAAAGATGAGGCTTTCTACTCCCATAAGGAGTTACGGTCTCGGAAACCCACACAGGCACTTCTCCCCCGTCCGATAGGGTTGCTGTGAATCGGCATAGGCTCCATGGCAGTGCTTGGGGTTTGTTGTGGCTGTTTGCCAACTTGAGTGGTAGTGGGACTGGATCTCCCTTTGCTCTAAACTGCTGGTGCCGGTTCTCACATTTTGGGTCAGGACTCCTACAAGGTAGATGTGGGCTTGTTTCCGTGAGAGGCCCCAGCTATGCTGACGAGTTTCTGTACCACACACAGGCCCGGGGATTGGGTTTTCCCCTGTCCCCTTCCCCACCCGTATGTTTTATAAGGCTCTTTTTTGTCATTCTCTTAGATGAGAACTTCTTTTGTGTGTTAATGGCTTGTGTCCAGTATTTCTCTTCACCCTGCCTGCTGCAAAACAGAAATCACTTCTCACTGATGTCTCCGCCGGCTCCTTCATTTGGAGGCAAAGTGAATGGTCACTTCACACGACTCCCTCAGGGCTCTGTCCTGTGCCTCATTAGGCCCTGTTTAAAATAACCGAGAGGAGCGAGTTACGGAAACGAAGAATGGCCTGTGACTGTGGCAAGAGATGCTCCTGGTTTCCCGTTAGAATCTGACTCCCTGCATGTTTTCGTCTACGGCATTTGCCGAAGCTGGGGTCCGCCTCCTTAAGCCACTTTAAGGGGTGCTGCTCTCTGCTCTCTCTGCCGAGTTCAGCCCCTCCTTTGTTGAGACCCCGTCAGGCTGCTTGGTGTGCTGTGCCTTCATGTGCTCTCTGCTCAGATTAGGTTGGCTGATGGTCTTCCATGGGAAGAAAGGGCTCCAAATAGGTTGTCAAAAGTTGAAAATAAGTAGAAAACCTAAAAGAGACAACAATCCAGGTAGTACAGAAAATGTTTGTCTTCCATCTTTAAATCCTACAGTAAGCATTTGTTTTATTAAAAATTTCTTTCATTTAGGCTGAGCATGATAGGGGACAAGAGGAAAGGCAAAGGAAATAGAGGAAAGAGCTAGGAGGCAAAGGGCATTTATAGAGGTCTAAATAAAGGTATGTATATATGTGAATATATTTATATATGAGGATGGGGAAATAGGTTTATGTGCATATACGTATAAGTTTGGTATTAAGGTAGCAGGTGGACATTGGGCCTCCACTCAAGTACTCCCTCAATGCAAGAATACTTTGTTCTATTAAAGTGGCATTCCATGATGCTCACCTTCCCGACACAATTGCTGAAGATAAAGCGGGTGCATAAGCAAATGTGAAGAAAGCTGATGGTACCCGGCTATCAAAATATATAACATCTAGGGTTGTAAAGGTAAACAGGTAGCCATCTAGCTCAGAAGCAACAAAGTCCACATGGAAGAAGCACAGCAGCCTGTGTGATCATGAGGTGCTGAAGGGATCAGTTATCAGGCATCAAAGAACAAAAAATCATATCATTGTGAATGGGGGTGTGTGCAAAGTGGGGACCCAAAGCCCATCTGTAGGCAACTGAACATCCCCTTACGGAAGGGTCTCGGGAGATGAGCCAGTCAGGGTGCAGTGTAGCAACGACGAAACATACAACTTTCCTCTAGTTCCTAAATGCTCCCCCTCCCCCACTATCATGATCTCAATTCTACCTTACAAATCTGGCTAGACCAGAGGATGTACACTGGTACAGATAGGAACTGGAAACAAGAAATCCAGGACGGATGATCCCTTCAGGACCAGTGGTGAGAGTGGCGATACTGGGAGGGTGGAGGGAGGGTGGGGTAGAAAGGGAGAATGGACAGTGAGATATGACAAAATAATAATTTACAAATTATCAAGGGCTCATGAGGGAAGGAGTAGCTGGGAGGGAAGGGGGAAATGAGCGGATGCCAGGGGCTTACGTGGAGAGCAAATGTTTTGAGAATGATGAGGGTAACGAATGTACAAATGTGCTTTACACAATTGATGTATGTATGGATTGTGATAAGAGTTGTATGAGCCACCAATAAAATGATTAAAAAAAAGTTTTTTTCTTTCATTTAAAAAAAGGGATACTTTCTTTTAGAGCAGGTATTATTTTGGATTTAAGGATTTGAGGAAGAAACTCCGTTTTGTCTAGGATTGCTTTCGGCCACTAATGTGTTCTGTCACCCTTATTACTGTTGTGTGACTTCAGGACAGGCATTGATTAGTCACGTAACTTTTTCAGTTCCCTCTTCTGTAAAATGGAGACAAAAGTAAGTTCCTGCCTACTCTTACCTGGGTTCTGTTTTATGATTGTTCAGAAATTATCCTCATGAAACTTGGGTTTCGGTATTGTGGAAAACAAGGATTATAGCTCTGGAGTAGTCTCATGACATGTAAATGGAATGAACTCGCTTTGTTGATAAAAATTATTCAAATTGTAACTGCATGTATGGTTCAGGAAACTAAAACATAGGTGGCATTTCATACAGCTTGGTAATGAATGAAGATAAAAATATTTTCCTTTCAAGAGATTATAGTACCAAATATCATTGTATATCTAAATATTGACATCATTTCAGGTCTGATATATAACTTCTTTAGTACCCAGTGCTATTTTAATTTGAAATAATTCTTTGGATGGTTAAAAGTTTTCATCCATGTTCATTAAGAGCCTAACTCCAAAAAGGTGTCTTCTAAATAAAAAATGCTCGAAAAACAGCAGGGATGGAGACACTCCGTCTTACAGACTTTGATCAGACCCTGAAGGAGGCCCTCCTGCTGGGTACAATGGAAGGCCCAGGGAAAAGAAGGCGGCCCTCCAGGAGGTGGATTGACACGTGGCAACAACAGTGGACTGGAGCACGGGAACAATGGGGAGGGCGGTACAGCGCTGGGCAGGGTCCTGTTCTGTTGTGCATAAGGTCACTATGGGTCGGAGCTGACTCCATGGCACCTCACAACATCTGCAGGGGAGGACAATAGAAACCATCTACACAAATTATGTTTGGAAGATGTTCAGCTAAACAGTGGGAAATTGTCAAGACATTTGTGCGCCGCTCCCCCCCCCCTGCCCCCCGCAGTTGTATAATGGCTAGATGAAAGTTATAGCAACTGTCATTGTGCAGTTTCATAGGGGGAATTTACTCAGACTTCGTCTGTGACAGTTCATAATATTTGGCCAAGGCCTGTGGGACGCATGCTTGGCCTCGTTGGCTTGCTGATCGGGAAACAGGGACTTGTAGAGGCTGGTAGTATTGGTGCAGAGTGAGCTCCTTCCCACGGTCGGCTTCTGCTGGTGGCTGGTCAAGGGACAGCGTTTCCTCGTCCGATTCTGCTGGCGCCCTGCGTGCTGGCGCCTGGAGTCACACTTGGGACAGCCCCTGTGTGTCACAGTAGAACTTGGCTCCAGTGGGTTTTCCTGGCTGTGCCTTTTGGAAGCAGACCACTTCCTTTCTCCACTGCCTTTCCTCCAAGTATTTTCCAACCACCAACCTTTCAGATAGTAGTCCACGAACTCTTTGTGCCCCTGGAGACCCCTCCTGTGGTTTGACTCCAGAAAAGGGCCCTCACCGTCTTTCTTCTAAGGCAGACTCACTCAGTGTGGGTAACTGGGGGGCACAGTGATTAAAGTGCCTGGCTGCCCACCACAAGCTTGAAGGTATGGGCCTTCAAGCTGTTCCCCAGGAGAAAGATTTGCCTACGGATGCAGACAGTGTGTTCTCTGTCCTGTAGGTCTCAATGAGATGGGTGGCGGTGGGCTTAACATCTCACGCTTCAGCACCGTACTCTGATCTTCTGTTTTTTAACCTTGGCACTTTAATGAATTTGTCATGATGTCTTGCTTTAGACTTATTCTTCATTCCCTTTGGTTTCACTAAAATAAATGAATAAAAGCATGAGGCATGCAGGTGAATTTTCTCGGTAATTGAAGCTGCTTACATAGACAAAAATTGAAGCTTCCTAGTTAGACATTAAAAAAAGAAAGAAAGAAATAGACCTCAAAAACTTGATTTCTTTGCCCTTGCTCCTTTAATTGGAGTAGATAAGCTATAATTCTCTACAGATGCATGTGTGCAAGAGCCTTTGCTATAGTGTTCTAACGATAGTTTTCTCCTGAGCACTTGCGAGGTGACGTATAATTCTTTGCTCTTAAACTAAGTATCTCCAAATCACATAGCCGTAAGTCCTTGTTCTATTTCTTTTAGTTCCAGTGGCTTCCTGGTTGCCGTTCTCGGTGTGGTGTGCCTGGCTACAGAAATAACATTCCTTCCTTTCAATTTTCTACTCCGGTAGACTGGAAAGCCTGGTCACTGTGGTGATTTTTATAAAAACCAAGCCCATTGCCATTCAGTTGGTTCTGACTCATAGCAACTATGTAGGGCAGGGTAAAGCTGCCCCTTAGGTTTCCAAGGCTGTACGTCTTCGCCAAAGGAGACTGCCGCACCCCCCTCGTGGGGTAGCCAGTGGGTTAAATGCTGACCTTTTTGCTAGCCACTCAACGCTTACCCACTGTCGCCAGCGTGCCTTCATGATTTGGAAAACATCTAAAATGTTGATAAGGGATTCTCCTGGAAAATAGCTGCTCCTCTTTTCTTGGGCTTTCTTATAGCAACTTCCTGGTTCTCCAAAATGCTGTGCCCAGTTGAAAACTATAGACAGAGGGATCAAAGGTCGTGGATCGCATTTCTTACTCATAATTTTTTTACTGTCATTTGAGTTTATCAGTAAAATTTAAAACTTTATAAAAAGTATTATTCCAGTTTGACCACAACTCAAACCTAAAACTAATTATCCGTTAAATTCATTTTATTGTGTATATTTTACTCAGAAGTGGCCATAACGTTGTGATGTTGATGAAGTATTCAAAGAAGATCACTCACTGATCAGTATTTCAATACTGCTTCCATCTCCACAGCTTTCTCGCCTCTTACGCTCCTTTCTGCTGGCTGCTCTCTGACTTCATTTCTTCCCTCTGCCCTTGTTTCCAGACAGGTCCAGAGCAAGCCCCATAGCAGTGCTGGTTTCTACGTTTACTTACGTGAACTCTTGACTAAAGGATAGACATTTCTGATACGAGGGCGCAGAACCAAAACTGTAGAAACATTTGCATCTTTATTGATACCGCTTCCTGTCGCTATCAGCTTAGCAGTCTGTCCTTGGGTTTTTAGGTCGCCTTTTCATCTCAGTGTTTTTGTATTTTATCGTGTGGCTCTCCCCAAGTAGCCTGTCTTCCCACCTCCTCCAGCAGTTCTTTCCGTGTCACATTGTCAGCTACACCTTCGTGTGCATTTCTGTAAGCCTTGCTTTCAGGCCAGAAGATGGGCTGGGGTAGATGGCTGTTACACAATCTGAACTAAGTACCACTCCTTTATCTCACATCGCAGTGACTAATGAGTTGTGTTGGTGACACAGCTGAGGGTAGGCACCTTCATTTCCTGTGTGGGTCCATTTCTCCCCATTGGGACCCATTTTAGTCCCCATTGTTTTCTGAGTTCCTGTCCATGATAGGCTTCATTTTGTTCTTAAATGGGTTCCCTTTGGGGTCTTTTTTAAAATGGGTTCTCCTTAATGATAAGTTAGAAACAGTGAAGGACTGGTTTCTAGCTGAGGTGAGAGAGAGAGAGCGAGCGAGCGACTGACCTCTGGTCCCCCACGGGAGCACTTAGTCCTGACAGGAACAGGTCATGATAAGTGGACCTTTTCATCTGGCAGTGCTGCCAAGGGACCTAACTGGTTTGGACAAGTGATTTAGAATCAAATGGCAGGGTGTTTTGTTTTGTTTTTGAATTTCATGGAGTCATTGAGCAATATCATATTTGAATGCCCCAGTGAGAGGCAGTGAACTCAAACCTTCAGGGTCAAGATAGCACGTTGCCAAGTCCGTTTGCTACAGGAAACCCAAGATGACAAGTGAGCCAGTGGCAGGTGGAACTTGGGCTTCCAACTCAAATGAAAAATGCCTGCGTGCAAGCTCATGTCCCACTCCCCCAGAGCCTGCGCCTGTCCCTGCGGGAGTTACTGTTGATCGCAAGGACCCTGCATGCTGTGTGGACAAAGGGAAATCTATTTGGTTGGCTGCTCACAGGGAGTTATTGGTAGAAGTTGAAATTCCACAAAAGTCAATTTTAAGTTAGCTGGTTTGTGGGTTTGAAGTTAAGGTTAAAGAATTTAGGTGGGTTTGTTGTTGTTTATTAATGAAAAATCAGATCCTTTGGATAGTTTTATCAGAAGATGTTTGATTTTCTGTTCTTATTATATATTCTTTTATTTTGAGATGATAGAGGTGTAATGGTAAAGAAAATTTTAAGAAGAAAAATCTGAAATCCATTTATCCTTATATAGTACATTTTATTTGCACTTGTAACTTGCAATGCTCAATCTTTCAAGTAATAAACCTCCATGAGTTCTTTCTTGTTCATGTGCATATATGTGGGGCTGTGAGGCTAGACATCTAGCAGCATTTATTTTATTCTTCGTTTTGTCATCTAAGTGGCCCATATCTTTTGTAAATGAATACGATCTATTTTATAAATGAAAATCCCCCCAGTTACCGCAACGTCCCAAGGAAACTCACTGCCAAGGCGTAGATTTCAACTGGCAACCACACCATATAGCCAGCGTTTCTGAGGCTGTCCATCTTTACGGGAGCAGAAAGCTGCTGCTTTCTCCTGGGGAGTGACTGGCTGGTGGTTCTGAATCACTGACCTTGCAGTAGCAGCCCGAACCCACAGCACTACCAGGCTCCTTCACGGAGAACCCTGAGACCCAGACATCACACGTGGAATGCCTAGCGATCATGCAGCAGCCTAGAGTTTAACTTGCCTCCCAGTTCACGTGCTCTAGAAGGGTCTGCAATTAAGAGAGAGTGCAGAGTCCTCATTCTAAAACGATTATTTGACTTTTAGGTGACAAAAAAACCCACAATTTTACTTATTAATTAAGAGTGGTAAATAATTTATTCCATTGTAAGGAGCCCTGGCAGCAGATGTTTAAGTGCTTGGTGCTAACCCACAGGCCGGTGTTTCAAATTCTCCAAGGGAGAGAGACCTGTCAGTCTGCCCCCTAAAGGAGGCCACTAAGAAAACCCAGTTCTGCTCGGTCACATGGGGCCACCCTCGGGGAGTGGGAATCAGTTGACAGACGGCACGGCGCCCACCACTCAGTGGCCATTGCCACCATGCTTTTTTGGTTTGTTTGGGTTTTTTCCAAGAAACATTTTCCCTGCTGGGATTTCTTCCTTTAACTCTGTGGTTGTCCTTTGTCAAAGAACACTATTCCTGAAAGGCACTATGTTGTTTTCTAGGGAAGGATCTCTCATCCCGGAGCAAAACGGACCTTGATTGCATTTTTGGGAAAAGACAGACTCAGAAGGCTCCTGAGGTATGACGCCACACTGCAGTGATGTTTCCACACGGTTTCATCTTCAGCTGGGGGGAGGACTGTTCGTGCCGGTGATCAGAGTCTTTTTCAGATGCCCCCGCCCCCCATTCCAGTAGATCCTTCAAACCAAGGCCAGATGTCGTCCTCATCATAATAATAGTTGGTGCGTGGTATATTTTGAAAGGAATTCTAAAAGCGGATATTATCTGTTAGGTTTTGTTTCTTTTCTGGTTCCTGAGAACTGGATTCAACTCAGGGAAGAATACGTATTGTTAGAAAGCTCAAAGGGAAAATATGTATCCCACCACTCAGGAAAGGGAGGTTGCATGTAGCAATTTTGTTTATTTTGCTCAAACTACATTAATAATTTGGAATATGGATTGAAGAGGGAGACTCGGATGCATAATCCTAAACCCACTGCCTAGGGGGTGGTTCCAGCTCAGCAACCCTGCAGGACAGAATAGAAGCGCTCGGGTCAGAAATCTGGAATACGAGATACACTGTTTTCTTCACTTTATGCAACTCTTTGTTTCAAACCTGGAAGGTAAGAGTAGGGTGACTAAACTCCACCTTGCATGTGATCCATCTAAAACTCAGACCTCCACCCAAGCATAAAATTGGAGTGTATAATATGGCAAAAAAAATTTGTTCCACTTTCAAGTGTAAGAGGCCATCCCGGATGTAGAGTTGATAGCAAACGACTAGAAGTTTTGAAAAAGTTTTTGCAATGTAGATTTGTTGAGATAATTGAAATAGAGATTGAAAATTGGTGTGGTCTGAAAACTCTGCCATCTTTGGTTGGTAGAATGGTGAACCAACCAATCCAGTGCATCGTGATTCTCTTCCTTTATTGATTTGCCATGGTCCTTGGTGACGAGAACAAAAGGGCAGACCTGTCTCATTTATTGCTGGCCCTTCTCCAGGCAGACCGACGTCTTTTTCCAGGTAGTGCCTACCTGTCACTGAGTATGAAACATTTTTAAATGTTAGTAGAGATTTCGATTCGAGCTGTCCTTAGGTCTTTTCCCCTTTTTCTGTCCCCACAACCTAGCCGAGCGAGGCTGGAGCAAGGGCACAGGGAAGGAGCCACTGAAGGAAAACCAGTCGCGGCTGCTTGCGGGCGGGCGGGGGTGCCCAGTAAGCTCCACGGAGCAACCAAAAATAGTGCTTGTAGGGCTCCAGCTACACACACAGACTGATTCCACACACAGTGTGTTCATGCACGCCTCTCCGTGAGCGGATCCCTGCAGACAGGCTCTCTCAGTGATACACTTGTCTCAGTCTCCTTAGGGTGCCTTCCCCCCAAAACTCCAATCCAACAGTGGTTGCCGAAAGCTTCTGCCGGGCCAGTTCCATCCAAGGTTAAGAGGTCACGTTAGAAGGTCCTGGCACCTGTTCCTTTAGGAGCTTCTACAGAAATAGTCTTGATGGATCCCCTTGAAGGACACCACATGGTCCTGGGGACTTTATTCTGAGGAAGTCTGAAGAAAAGGGGGAATGACATTGCTGAAAACAAGACCCGGAAAGTTGCCGCGAGTCATTCTTTTTCATCAGGACGACGCGCCTGCCGACTCCTCCGGGGCAGTGAGGGCTGCGAGACCCTTCCTGTCCTGGGACGCCTTTCCCTGTCCACCACACAGCCCCGCCTTTGCCCTGCCAGGCATCCTTTTGTTCTCCAAAGTCATAGAACGTTGAAATGGAACACAGTTTGAGTCCCTTGAAGATACCAAAACCGCCCTTTTGGTGTGGTGTGAATCGAAGAGTGGAGGATTCTTTGGGGAACGATTAAGAGAGAGAGAACCCCTTCCTTCAGAAGGGTGTAGCCCTAGATTTATAGCTTCATATTTTGATGTAGTAAAGTTTCTGTGCTGTTCTAGCAGTACTTTTCGCCTTGCCCTCGAGTGCCGAGTCATGCGAAAGGCAAGGGATCGTGAGGCAGGAAGTGTTCTGACGGGGACGCGCTAAGTGCTCTGCTTCCTCGCAAGTGTTGGAAGGCCCCGACCATCGGGGAACCCAGCTTCTCATGCATCTCCCACTCCGTGCTGAGCCTGCCCCTGGATTAAGCCGTTCTCCCTGGTTCATGACGTTGGCCATGTTAGCAGGGAGGTCCAGTCCCTGGAAAAGGATGTCCTGCGTGGTCAAGTAGAGGGCCAGCCCCAAAGAGGAAGCTGCTCGGTCTGCAACCTAACAACTGTGCGGTGTCGCGGGACCGGCACGTTTTGCTCTCTTGCACATATGCACAGGGCGGCTCTGAGGTGGAAGCAACTTGATGCACCAACAGCCACTGCCCTGGCACCTGGCTGGTCTAGGTAGTCTCTCCGACTCCTCTCTGACTGTCCTCAGTGAGGTCAGCATCCTCGAGAAGAACCCAACCTCTCAACGTCCTTGCCCTCTATACTCGGTGTCCTCTAACACCCTGCTACCACGGCCACACCTCGCCCCTTGGCACCGCAGCCCACTAGAGCTGCCCATGAGTTTCACTTCTCTCCAAGGCTTGGCATTCCCTGCTGCCAACCTTTCCAGCCTTACCCTCATCTTCGCCAGTGCCCTCTTTGAAATCGCACAGTGGAACAGATCAGGGAAGGAAATATTTATGGGCTTTGGTAGGGCTTTAAAAGAAGTTATGTGGTTAGTGCAGGAAACCTTTGAGTTAAAAAGGAGATTAGAGGTTTGTAATCCTCTGGCAGACATCCATCTGAGGACTTAAGAGCATTAGGAGCCATGAGGTTTGTCATCACTGTGTCCCCTGCTGGTGGCGTGGTCATTCATAATCATGTTAAAGTGAGCAGTTCCTTTGGGTTGGAGGGGCTTCAGAAACAATTTCCTAGAGCTATAGCACAGGGAAAATCTATTTTGGTGTAATTGGTAGAGAAGATCAACCTTGATATAATACTGTGTTTCATGCAAGATTTATATCAGCCACGTCTCCTCCTCTCTTTCTAGTTTGACGTTTTCTCCTGAGGGTACATTTAAAATCTTAACTCTTGGTGAGGCTGCTTCATATTAGTATGCTGCCCTCCGTCTATAGCAGCTGCATCCTTGGCCCCTGTGGATCTTTTTAAAACCCATTAAAGACAGATCTTGGGATAAAGGCCAGGTGTCAGTTAGTGTTTAAACAAAGAAGACATTTCTGAAAAGCCGACCCTGACGATTCAGGTGATTTTCATGGTGGTAAGGAGTATGTTTGAGAACCCTTGGTAAACGCCCTGATGCATGACGTGTTGGTAGAGCCTCCCACGGTGGTGCCGAGAATAACGCCTGGCAAATCACTGCTCAAATTGTACTGTGCGGGCAGATCATCTGGGCATTACAGTGCAGATTCTGGGTCAGTGAGGTGTGGGTGGGGTATGAGGTTTTAACAAGCTCTCTGATGCTGTTCTAGGTCCATGCACTGTACTTTATCAGGGGCGTATGGAGTGTGTGTGCGCGCGCACGTGCACATACGCCAGGGGCCTTCAAAAAGTTTGTGGGAAAATTCTGTTCTTTTCATTCCATTTTTTTCCATAAGCATAAGCCCCTTCATGTGTGTGTAACATATATATATATATATATATTTGAATGTGTGTGTGTGTGTGTATATATATATACATTCAAATCACATTTTAAGACAGCAAATTAAAAATCTTCCTTTAAGTGGAGTCACTTCTAAGGCTATCTCTTATGTACATGTGGGTTTTCATATAGTAAGTTAGATTTTCCCCGAGGTACACTGGTACCTCCTTGAATAAGTTGTTGCTGAGAGCCCTTACTGTGTTAGTTACAACAGCCCTGATAGCCAAGAGCAAGAGGCCTCTGATCAGACTTGTTTGAAAGTACGACCTCTTTGGGCGGCTCTTCTCAGTTGGAAGGAATATTGATTTATTTTGACTGCCTGACCCTCATAGCAACATTGGCCTGGATTTATATTTCACATGGTCAGAGCAGAGGCTCTGCTGCAGGTCCGACACCTTCAAATCTCAGAAACCCTGGTGCTTTTGAATGTTAGTGCAAGGCTGCCTCTCCGGGCAAGGGGCTGGTCTTTTGCTGGTCTTCTGCAAATCGATTAGAAGGATCTTGGGCATTGACCACTGTTTGGGTTTGTGCAACACCAGAACTCTCACTTGAAAGCTGGCCTATTAACTTCCACCACTCCTGGCTATTGTGAAAGTACTTAACTTACTGAATATCTCTGTGTGCCAGCCTCTGCGCCGGGCGCTTCAGAAGTTGGCATGCTCACCTCCTGTGTAGTTCAGTGGAACTCAAGGCTCTGACACAGTTGAGAGAGATTTGTTCCAAAGCTCCAAAGAGGGAAAGTGGGAGTCCAGCCCTCCCAGCTGAAGTCAGTGTTCTTCCAGTAAGCCCTCCCACTGCCGATGGTAATGAGCTCTTACAGGGTTTTTGTTTTACATCTGTGTCGAAGTGATGTGCTTAGGCTCAGCGGTGTTCTTGGAGGTTTTGTTAGAAGTCATCAGTGGTTAACACTGTATCTTAGGTTTGTGGGAAGATTATTGACTGTTAATCTCATTTTGCTGGAAATAGTGGTTTACATTTTCAAATGTCCTCCTTGCCTTTTGTCAGAGTTGACTAATTTGGGTTTCGAAGCCCATGAGTCCAGTCCTGCACTGACTTTGGGAACGATTCTCCATTCCTAGGGGAGCTGTGGGCGGTAGTGGGCGCTAGTCTGAGTGTTGGAGCACAGATGCTGTCACTTGTGCGATGCGTTAGATGATCTGAATATGTTTATATTAACAAAATAAATCAGCAGTTCTTGATGAATAGTCTTAATACCTTTTGTTTTTCACTAAACAATAGAAAAAGAAAGATGTACAGGATGTTGCAAAGACAAGGTCTGTGTATCTGTCACCAGCTTCTCCCAATGGTTATATCTCATATAACTGTAATATCAGATCAAAATCAAGACATTGACGTTGGTACCATCTGTGTGTCTAATTTTATGTCACTTTGCCACAGTCTGTGGGGTCTGTAAAAGCCATTTTCTCAATTAGGGTTCTGAGCTGTTA